AAGGTACTATCTTCCTCAGGAAAAGTTTACCTTCTCAAGATTTTATTCCCCTTACATCTTCGTTACTGTGTCTTTGCCCCTGAAAACACTGTTTTCCCATTCTTCTTTTAATGTTTATTTAAGAGAGAGAGAGAAAGAGAGGGAGTGAATGAGCAGGAGGGAGGGGCAGAGGGAGAGAGAGAGAGAATCCCAAGCAGGGTCTGTGCTGTGAGCTCGAACCCACAGACCGTGAGATTGTGACCTCAGCCAAAACCAAGACTAGGGATGCTTAACCGACTGGGCCATCCAGGCGCTCCTCCAGTTCTTTGCATTAACAGCCTCATGGCCTGCCTTTCCTTGGGCACACCCCTCTCTCTCCCAGCTCTGCCTTTTCTCAATAGCTCCCTCCTTTGGTGTGTTTGCTCCCCATTTGCAAGGCCTCACTCTTCAAGCCACCGTCTGCCTTACAGTCTCACAGTCTCACAGCGGGAGGTAATCATGGTTCTTGTGCTATAATTTGTGTTCATTCCGTCTCCCCAACTTGACTGTAAACTCCCTGGGCAGTGCTCCTCCTGTCCAGCCGAGGGCCTGGCAGATGATCAAAAACTGTGTGTTGGGGGAATTCATTTATGGGAACGTTAATACTCCGGTGCCCGTAAGATTCCTCAAAGAATGGCATTCTCGGACTCGAGATTCTTTAATTCTCCATTCATGATTAAAATTTCAAAGTGCATCAGAATCTTGTTGTGCTTCCTTACAAGGATCGCGTGAAGGGGATGGTCAGGGGAGGCTGATGTGCTGAGTGACGGAGGAATAGAAGGAAGAGAAGCCCGGAAGGCCTGCAGCTTTCCCGAAGTCCTTTGCGGCTGACTGGTTCGTGGAACTCCCAGCTTTATGTCTTTATGTGTAGTTGAACCTGTAAAATCGTTCAGGTGACTTATTTTGGGGTGTTTCACTTCATCGTCTTCTCCGTCGCACCTTTCCCTCATCCCCCCACCCCCCGGGCCCGCCCCCAACAAGCCACATACTTATTTTTCAGAGGGAGACCGCGTTGGGTTCCACGCTGCTTGCTGTACGTTGCTTCGATCGTGTCCTGTTATCCTAGCTGGGAATACCCTCCTCCGTCCCAATGACCTAGAGTGTCAGGTGGACATTAAAAAGGGAATGGAGCCTCGGGAGAGGGTGGCCCTGCGCTATGCAGGGCGACAAAGATGAGCGGTAGCGGGTCTCCCCTAGAAGGCGTGAGGACCGCTACAGACGTCTGTTGAACGAACGGACCACACAGGCTTTGCCGGCCTCCCGTAACAGAGGAGACGCTGGCTGCTTAAGCGACAGCCAGAGAGGCATCAGGGCAGAACTGGCCAAAAGGAGGCCGAGATGTCAGGAGACCTCTCTGACCCACTTGGCCTCCTAATAACCCATGTCCGTGGTTGTTCTTTGTTTTGAAACAGAAATTGCAGAATCCGCCCCCCTTCCTGAGTCACTTGACTCTCCCCGACACTCGGTGTGTGTTTGTACACTGGCCTCCGGAAGAGGGAAGGGCCGCCCTGCTCGGGAGAGATGGCTCATAAGCAGACGGGAAGGATCCCTCTGTGTCAAACACTGGATAAAACACCTGGGACTTAGTGACTCACTTGCCAGAGACTTGTCCCGTTAATTTCATACGTATTGTATTTGTGTTTCTACACAAACATACCAACTTCGACTTGTAGGTGTTTGATGAGTCAGAAATACAGTTTCCTGGTCCGCCGAGCCTTGATTGCTTGTTAGGAACGTCAAGGCGTGTGAAGGCAAGGGACTGCTGGCCTGGGAAAATTTTCATTTCTGTCTCTTTCTGCTCTAAAAAATGTCCAGCCTTCCGAAAAGTTTCAAGAATGGCATAGAGAACGACCTGTATCACCGAGATTCACCCGCTGTTGCATTTTACCCTGTTAGTTCCTCAGTTGATTTTGTTGATGTCAAATAACCAGCTGCAGACATCATGACACCATCCCCAAATGCGTCAGCATGTTCTTCCCAAGAACGAGAACATTCTCTTAAATTATCACGATATACTTATCAGCTAGTTGGAAACTGAACACGGACACCAGACTGTTACTAGCGGCTGGTCCATATTTGGATCATCTCGGTAGTGTCTCTTATAGATTCTTTTTTCTTTTTGCATCTAGGATCCCATCACGTGTCACACATTTATCTAGAAGTCTCTTTTTACCTAGAAGAGTTCTGCATCTTATTTATAGTTATTTTAATGATACTGATATTTGTGAAGACCCTGGCCACTTCTTTTGCAGGAGGCCCCTCGATCTGGAATTGCCTGTTTCCTTCTTAGATTGAAGTTTAACATTTTTGGCAAGAACACAGCATGCGTGATATACGTTCTTCTCACTGGTGTTACATCAACAGACTAAGATATCCGCTTGTCCCTTTAGCGGTGATGTTAAATAACTTCAGTCATTTGGTTCACTTACAAAGATAACTTTTCCCCTTTGCAATTAAAAATGCATCTGTGTGGGGGCCCCTTGGGTGGCCCAGTTGGTTAAGTGTCTAACTTTTGATTTTGGCTTAGGTCACAGTCTCACGTTGTGTGGGATCAAGCCCCGAGTTGAGCTCCTTGTTCATAGGGTGGAGCCTGCTTGAGATTCTCTCTCTCCCCCTCTCTGCCCCTCCCTCCCTCAAAAAAAATTAAACATTTAAAAAATGTATCTGTGCGGATCCTTTGGGATCATTCACAAAATGTGAATAAAAGTACTCTTGTCCCCAGTAATCTTTTATGCAGTGGTTTTAGCATGGATTGATGATTCTTGACTGGAACACTCATGGTGCTAAAAAATGGCAGCGTACATTTCTGCCATCCTTTCAACATTTATTGGTTGGCATTCTATTATAAAGAAGAGCTTTCCTGCCTACCCTTCCCTTTAAAATAGTTTTCATTTCATTATTATTAATAGTAGTAATGGTATCGGTATAGATAGATTCAGGGATTTTAAAAAATATCATCACATGTATTATAAGCAGTCCATCCCTGACTGACTTACTCATTTTGATGCTCGAATTATCCCAAATTGGGATGAGAGGCCTCTCAAGCTGGTTGCCGTGTCCTTTCGACACCATCTGAGTTCTTCCTCATATTCTGGCACAACCAGAGGTCCCAAGCTCAGCCAAGGAGCCCTGGTTACGTTTAGGGGAGAATGAGAGTTGGTAACCAAGGTCTGGGCTCTGCTGTGTTCCTTGTTACAGGGTGTCATCGTTTCTAGGGCCTTTCCCATGGACAGAGCTGGGAAACAGGTTTCTCAAGATCACCAATTCACATTGCTCTTATCTCAGTCCAATACCAGAAAGTTCTCCCTCTCTTCTCCCCATTCTGGGTTTTGCATCTTTCACTCACTTTTTATATTTTCCCTAGGAATTTAAAAAAAGGCTTGAATCTCCTTTACTCCTGGTCTTATTATGAAAATAAAATTCCTCGTGATTGATGTCTGTTTCCCCGTAAGTGAGGACATTCAGTAGATCGTAAATTCAGGGCAGAGGTGAAGGCCCGTGCCCCATCTCCTGGGGCTCTAAAAAATATCTGCACAGATAGGAAAGTCCGGAGGGAAACACAAGCACGAATGTGTTATGTTTTTTCGGTATTTTCTAGTCATTTCACAATGAATGTATGCTACTCTTAAAATAACAAAATAGGAGTATTTTAAGGCAAAAGAAACCTAGATAGACTGGATGTCAATACTTTGGTCCTACATATTGTAGGAAAGGAAAGATGATTTTCCGTTTACCCGTTTAGATTCTTGGCTGAGACTCTCCCCGCCCCCATAAAAAATAAACAGGAGGAACCCCCCCCCCCCACCAATTTTTGATTATGTATGTGCGTCCATTCACGAGCCCCACAAAGGTAAGAGACTCAAAAGGCCGCCAGGCAGTTGAGGCTCATGGACCATGCTGAGCTAAGGAAAGGGATAAGGGTCAGGGGTTTCAAAGGCAAGGAAGAATACTCACAGGAAGGTCAGAAGAGAAATTCATGGTAAACAAGGCTGCCCTGCCATGCACAGGAGTCAGGTGAAGTGATGTGTGGGCATAGCTGCATTCCTGGCATAACCCCCCTTTCTATGTAAATTCCCCCTATAAAAGGGTCACTTTTGCTGTTTGCAGGCTCTTCCTGTGTCTGCACTTTTCTCAAAAACAATCAGCACAAAAATCCTTATGCCAGAGGCATACTTGGGGTGGCATGTTCTGGTCCCCTGCCATAGAGCCAGACACCGTGGGCACAGAGATGGTCAAGTACCGAGTGATAAGAGGATGGCAGGCAAAGGGCAGCGCTCCGGGGGCCTCTTCTCCAGCTGGAAGGTCGAGGAGGAGCCCCGGGCTCTGCACGCTCCCGCCCCTGGCAGCTCGGTTTCTAGGGCGATGCCCCCACCCGTGCCGTTTCTCGGGTCTCCGGTCGGGACGGCTCTGTGGGGCAGGAGCCGCCTGGCAGACCGGGGGCGCCACGGAGGCGGGCGACACGCCCGATCCCTTGCCACCGCCGGTGCCCGGCGCTGAGGTCAGCGGAGCCCGGCTGGCGGGGGCGAGGTCAGCCCGGGACACCCGGCGC